AATTTTTTAACGAATTTCATAAGAAAGATTCGACAAACAGTAACCAAGTATGTTTCTGAATTTTTCAATATTAAATATGTATATTAATAATAAAATATTATATAAACTTAAATTTCTACTAAAATACGATCAATTAAATAATGAGACTCCTATGCGTTAATTGCTTACAAAATTTAATAATTATCAACTTTACGCTTCCCAAATTGTACACTAAATTAAAATATTAATAATAAAATTAATTAGTTCTTATAAAGTAACAGCTATCTGTTGCAGTGTTTGCAATTATGAGTAAATATAAGATTCTTTCATTATATGGACGGACGTGTAACACGTGTTACGAGTGAATGATTGATAGTTATAAAACCAGCTTGCAATACTAAAGTTTTCCACACGTAATATCTTTTACGGATAAGATCTTCCTTTGGCTGTGACATTTTCATCAGTTGGTTTTTGCTTTTATTATTTCTTTCATAGCGGACAACGTAATAATTAATATAGCAATTTCCTTCGCTGTCTGACACAAGTGGATTTGTATCTCTATTTCTTCCCACTGGTAAATAATAAAGCGTAATTGTAAATTATAAATTTGCTATCAAACGCAACTGAAGGTTTCTGTACAACGACACATTCACTTGACACGTATTTGCCTAACCGAGACGTGTGTCATGTCGTGTGGGTAGACTAATGCACGTATGCCAACGCGACAACATTGCTATTGTATTGCAACAAGCAATTAAATTCGTTGCATGAATGAGGCCTATTCGGATTCGTCGAATACTTGACAAGTGAACACATTGTTTGGAGTCAGCTTAATAACGCAACACAGTAATTTATGAGTAGAACAAGGTTTTAACTGCTACTAACACTCTACATCAATGTAAGTTTCTGAAATAACACGTTATTATACATAACTGAATAATTGAAGAATTAAATATCAGCAGTGCTTCAATTTATAGCATTTTTTAAAGGATTTAAGAAAATTAATTTCGCAGTTTAGAGGACACGTGGGCTAATTTGCTGTGATAATTGATTTTAGCACGCCGAATGAATATTCTTTCAAAATTGCTGATGAATAAATTCATTTCTTTGAAGCATGCGCACGTAAAACGCTCCTTTAATCAACGCACGCTCTGTGCGTACCTTGAAAGCGCTGGAATTTGTTGGACAGTGGATGCTCCGGGAGAATCTCGCAATTGACCGCGTTATTTAGTGCAATGCAGTTAAACGTTGATCGAATAAGCGCGATCGAAAACGCGTGGACGTTGCCGCGTACGTTATTCTGCCAAACTCGAATAAGAGAAAAATTTTCATTTTGTTAACTATTTTTTCTTCAACGCCTCCTTCCTACATCCGCTCCTATCGCAATAAGAGTAACGAAACGAGCTAAATTCCAACAAGTGGAAGGGCTAGGGAAGAAAACAATGACGCTTCTTCCATCGCAAACGATGTGACGGTATTGAGCGAAAAATACGAGTTACGTTGCACGCTCACTTACACGCGATATCGTATGGTAGCGTATTTTACCTTTTCGCTTCGAATACCTTTCGCAGAGGCATCTCGAAGATCTTGCTTTTACAAAAGACAAGGGAACGTGACATTAGAAGTTCCCTTTTTCACGCGGTCTCATCGTGCAATGTACGTACGTTGCTTCGTGCAAGCTAATGCTCGGCCGGAAAAAAGCAACACGACGTAAAAGCGACGAAATCGGATAGAAAAGATTTCATCTCACGTTTCTCATTTCAGTGTTTCTTCACGTGTCAAGCGTGTTTTCTCAATCATTGAATTCCAAAATTTTCGTACGTAAATGCGTCGAATGAAATTGCGTCGGCGGGACTAACGTTGCATAAATATCCGCTCAATTTTCTTGCGCCATTATTATAATACGCCATTAATTAAATTCGTAATACGACTACCAATAATGCGAGTGTCAATTTATCGCTTACCGCGCTAATTTATAATTAGAAATTAATTATCAACATACCATACTATTACAGCCATCGGATACAAGATATGTTCTCTACGTGCCTGTCTCGGCAATCAAATGTTAATTAACTTGATTTAACAAAACGTACAGTCTGAGTTTTGACATATCATTACGTTTATAACTGCAAACTAGTATAATGTGCCATTTACAAAGCGCCGGCACACAAAACTCGGTATTATTTCGCGTACAATGCCATATAATACGAAACTAATAGTATAAACTAATTTCCCTAATCTACATGGTTTTTTCCCCTTGAATATATGGCGCGAAAATTGTAGGTAACACAATCAACAGTAACAAAATTAATTGGGATTAAGTACTTATTCTCCCTGTTTATTAAAATGAAAATTCATTAGAATTTGCGTTCCCATAATAGTTTTCCATTCGTAAAGCCACGCTTTACGTTGTTTGGGAATTTTAGGTCCGAGTGTGAAAACTGTTGGGACACACCCCTCGAAGAAAATCGTTGTTAGCTTTTGGTAACGTGACTCACAATCGTTCATCCCGGATAAATTTCTGATATGACGTACGATTTATATTTCAAATCGGATCCGTCCGTTAAGATACGCTAAAATTTTTGTAAAAGTCGGTCCGGCTGCTTTTCCGTGACGCTCGGATAAACAAAGAGACAAGCAAACAGACAGAATCCGTGAAATTGGATGCAATCTTCTTTTCGGAAACGAGTAACAAAACAAATCAAATTCACAGTTTATCGAAGGGAGCCTTTACATTTTCGCGTGATAAAAAAACGATGAGACAGTCGATTGGGTAAGCGGATTGGACGACGATATTGACAAAACTTGCAAGTTAAGACTCTTTGCATACTATTTTATTTCAAGCACACGCGCGCACACACACGTTATTTTGTGCTGACTTAAAAAATTTGACGTTTCAGATTTTATAAAAGTTTCAAAGTCATGACATTATTCAGAATTTAAAAAGAGAGATACACTTTAAAGAGAACATATATGTATCTGCACATGTGTACACATCACCAGCATCCCATCAACCAACAACGTTTAGATTTTTGATCATATAAAACGTGAAGTTTCAAAAGAAATTTCGCCAGCTACATTCCTCGCAATGTCAAATGCATAACTCCCCTTTGTCGTGCGTTAACAGCAGATGTAACAGGTTACTATGGCAACCGCTGGTTATTGTCTATTTATGGTTTTCCCAATTCCTGCGAATTTCAAAATACCTCTATATTTACGTGAATATTTCCAAGATTTATTGTAGTTCACATTCCAGTGCGACGGCTTTTTATCATTATTTAACATTTCTTCGTGGTTTTACAATTAACATTTTCTTTCCAGGCTCAAATCCTGGCTGAGGTAACTTTTGCGCAATAAATTTTAAGTGGAAATCATTTAGACACTGACACCCTTGGCTCCTATATCCTTTATTCATTGTAATTTCACATCGGAGCTTTACGAATTTTGTTGTGTAACATTTTTGAACTCGATCAACACGTGCATACGCGTAAACGCACAAACATGAAATTTGCCATTTTGTACAGAGCCAGAAAATCATAACTCTGAAATACTCTGTAGTTAAAGGGGTATATTTAGTAGATAGTATATACGGCTATATGCGGATATAATGCATTATGCCGCTTTGCCCGATACCACTGATAGTCCCAAGTTAGCCCAATTTACGAGCAAGGCCACTGACTTCATGAACCATGCACTACACTCTCATCTTTATCCGCATACGTGTACATTGAGCTTCATTAATGCCTCGCCAAGGGGACACTCACACCACATCACTCTATACAGTTTCCTACTATAGGGAAATACGATGTATGAGAGGGGTTTTCCGACCACGGGTAGGCAACCCCTGGCGAGCGCTTTGGAGGTCGTCGTCAAGTTATAGAGAAGACCAGGAAGATAGCATGCTGCATAAAATGTCAACGTGATCTATTAGCGTTATATTTCATACTTTCTTTCGAGTTTACTAAATGATACCATCTTGAATTCTTTTCTCTAACACATCGAGTTCTATTCTGAAAATATGTTGTAATGTTTAAATGAAATATTCAAATTGAACTTTTTGCATATTGAGAAACGTTAGACTGATTTCTGTCTTAAGAAATTTGTAAAGAGTGAATTTCTTAAGGGAAAAAATTCAAAGTGATTCTCTCGGGTATTTTAATTTTTTCTCAGGGCACTTGTTAAAAAGGCTTAATAAGGCGATTTGAGAGATTAAAGGACAAAATTATTTGTTACGAAGCGTAACGGAATAACTCGCGAAATATGGAGATTTTAGAAGCTTTCAATTTACACGCGAAATTGGAATGAACAAAATCAATAACGAATTCATAGATAATCTCTCTTTACAAACGGACATCTGCATACCATTCGACCTCTGGATTGCGTTGCAGGAAAGGATGACGAGACTGCGGCAGTGCGCGAAATGAAATGGTTATGCTTCATTGACGGGACCGGCGGACTCGCTGCTTGCGCTAATGGAGTGATGTCAATTGAACGAGGTAGCGCGCGACGAGTGCCGGTGTTGGGTAAACCGAGGCGGAGCGCAAATATTGGCGACGCTTGGGACATTTGCACACAGCATTATGAATTTCGATTCGGCACTGAATCCTTCGGCAGTGGGTCCTTCGTCGATGATTCGGGTCGACGATGGATTTTAAATCGATTAAGCGGACACGCCGCCCCGGTGAGCTTTAAACGTGCGCGATGCACGCTTGATTCCGTTATTCGATTTCGTGAAAAATAAAATCCAGTTGCTACGAACGCAAGCCCATGTTCGCCATGCGCGCCATTAACGAGTCGAAATAAAAAGACTCTCGACCTGTTTCCAAGTCAAAGCCAGTTCAACAACGTCGCTGTCAAGCTGTTAAACATATCTCTCTCTCTCCCTTTCTCTTCCGTACGTGCGCGCTCGAAAATTAATATTCATCGAAGTCACGTGCCGACGATAAATTCTGTTTTTTCGGAATTGCGCCACAGGGAGCTTTTTTTCATTGTCGCGTAATTAATGTGCGCCCTGGAAAACCTGTCATGGAAGTTGCATGAGTGAAAGTGCGTGCAAACGTGCGACCACTATTCTGTTTTTGCATACATTTTTCGAATATTCTTTTTTTTTAACGTCGAATGTACGAACATTTCGGCTTTTTTTTTAATTAATAATTTAATCGTAGCCAGGGAATTTTCTATTCGTATTGACGACCAATATAAATGGCGCATGTTTAATGCTTAACTATATTGAACCGCGTACTTTGCCAACATTTAATACAACAGGCATGCGTTCGATTATTTTAGTAATTACAAAATAATAAAAAATTATTTCATTTCTAATAAATACATATAAAATAATTGCTTTCCTGGCTATTATAAAGAAATAGCCACATTAGAAAATTAATTTAATTCTTTAAAAAAATCAATAAATGTTAGTACTCTAATTTATTTATTTGAGATTACTCGGTAGAGTCCACTCTTACCGCGCTTTAAATTAGTTTTATTTTACGGTTCTACAAAATCTCTTTATTTCGATAATTTAAAAATAATTCATGATATTCTAATATTTTTAGTCATGTGTAGAGGAGAGACCCGTATTACGAGGTAGGCTACTAGTATAAGATAGCAAGGTTTCTGCTAAACTAAAATTCATTATTCTATTGAAGTTTTTAAACCTTGTATATTATGTAATAAATAAATATTTGGCAATAAATTCTGCATACAGCGATACAGTAAAATTGTATTAATGGGAAAATACGGTATGTTTAATTGTTTAGTAGTAGAGATTAGATTTGGTGGTCGCAAAACCGCAAGGCGTGCGGCTTGTATCACGAGATATTCAGTGCTCATACGAGATAACATATGCTCGAGTGTCAACTATCGCGATCAGCTAGCTGTTAATGAAAGTAAAAACAAATCCAAGCAACGCCATCTACAAAACAAGGGCGTAAAACCTCCGTGACTCCTTGTCAGATTAAAAATATTTAAGCTTTTTCATTATATATTTGTACTTCACAAGCATTTAATAAATTTCTAATTGCAATATTGTTTCATTATATTTGTCTTTCATAAACAATTAATAAACTTATAATTGTAATACTTATGTATTTTGCACTTTGTTAGCAATTTCTCGGGGTACCTCATATTACAAGCACACCTTCGGTTTCGCGTAAACCTCATCATTTATCATATTTTTCTAATTTAAAAAAAATTTAATTGAATTTTATATCTCAGCATCTTCAAGCTTATTAAATTACTTTCAAAATGAGCTATTATATTTTTTAATTGTGCCTATAGATTTCCTGCAATTACAAACATGAATTCGATATTTCATATCTCATACACGGGGACTCTCCTCTATTAATAATATTATAATTATTATACAAATGATTAAATCCGTTAAAGGCACAAAGAGCATTGCGGCAATTCCGTGATGCAAAATAGAAAATATATAAGTGTAAAAGTTTCACCGATCAATTTAACAAAATTAACTCCATTTCCTCAATAGGAAACGAAATGCGCTTCTTACGAGTCGCTAAACGTTCGCAGAAAGAAAAAAGATGTCGTCTGACGATGGAAGTTTTTATCCCTCAATTGGACTCTATTTTTACTGGAATGTAAAGAAAAAGTCGATACCTCTCACGGGACGGTAACCATTTAGGATCAAACGTACACGACGATTGAGTTTCTCGGTCGACTTCCGACGTATTCTAAGTCGCAAAAGTTCGCGCGAATCTACGAAATACCTGGCAGTCTTAGAGCGCAGTTTCTTTTACACTCAAAACTTCGTTTAGAGGTGAAATCCGCCTTATGCAATAAAGAAAAGCTCGAAGCAATGGAATTGAAAAGTTACGAAGGCGAACCGATCAAGCGATTTCGTCATTGAAACCTTTTAATTCTTTTCTAGTTAATGTGGCCATGTACCCGTAGCAATTTGTCCGAGAAATCGATAAACACAAAGCTCCATAATCAAAATTAAATAGAAAAAGATTCTTGTCTAGCTTTGCAGATTATTTGCGAAAAACTAGTATTTCAATTAAAAGTCATTAAAATCGTAATTTATTAATTAGGAACAAATTGACTGTAAATTAGTTGAAAGTATAAGGTTAAGTTTATCAATTTAAAAAAATTATCACAGATCGACTGATCTCTTTCGCAAGATTGTATCTCGATTTTACGCAATTTTCGATTTTTCTGCTTTAATAAAATTTGTATTAAACACTCATTTAGAACCAGAATGAGCATTTAAACAGAAAAACCGGAAATTGTGTAAAACTGAGATACGACTTTGCGAAACAGAACAGTCGACATACAATTTTTCAAATAAGAATGTACGGTATACACATATGTACAATATTAAAATATTTTTAGCAAGATAAGGAAAGGTTTCTTTTGTTCAATATTTACGTAGCATCTTGCTGTAGGATAAATATTTGCTAATCTACATTGCGCTAAACGATACAAACAGTTGATGTTAGTCAAAGTTTCGATCGCTGGTTATGGACCGCATCAAGTTGGGAGAATATTTGAACTAATTAATTTAATTAAACAATTACTTCAGTTTACCATAATTTAGCAACTGCATAAAACACATTATTTGTAAATTATTTAAACGTTAATGAAATAGTTCGAAATCTCGAGGTTATGAAACAAAGGGTTACACAACCTGCTACAAACAGATAACAAGAACAAGATTAATAAGTTTATAATTGCATAATAAAAAGATGTTTTTCTTGGAGACTTAAAGTCTTTAGTAGTACACATAGAATACAATATAAATACAAATATCTAAAACGTGCGGTTTCAGATTTGGAAGCAATTTCGAGGAAGCTTTAATAACAATGAATATAGAAGCCATCATTAGCAAAATGCTTCAGTTTGATCTAGATTATGATGTATTCAATCTGTGCCAAATGTTCATTTTATTATGGTGAGCCCGCAATGCAGTCTTGTGAGTAGATGTATCTCCCAAGCGTATGCAAATATAATCGCGCTTGTATTCGCTTATAATCCTCCGTGCGCATTCAGGCCAGTAGCTTGTTTAGGATCCTCAAGGAGACTTCTCGAATCTCGAAAATTTGTACTCGCGTGCACTGGCTGTATCTTGTCCACCCTTATGCATCGATTTACTCTCATACGAGGTCGCGCCATTATTATCGAGAGAACGTTTCAAACAAATCCGTTATTCAGGAAGAAAGTTACATTTTTTTTTACAAATATAAAATCTATTTGTCATTTCCAGCAAATAATTTCACCCCGGCATTTCTTCGCCAATTCGAATCGTTTCGTCTTTACATTTAAACGTATTTTATGGATACGCCCAGTTTCTTCTCGATGCTTGTATCGTTAATATTTATCTCGAAGTTACCCGGCGATATCTGACAAAGTTTTACCGAAGTCTCGTGCATCTTATGCAATCACGATGAAATTGGAAAGTTTCGGAAAGCAGACTGATCGAAGAGAAACAGCAAATCCTAGCGGAGATCCTAACCGAGTTGTCTCTCGGTGGACGATCGTACTTGACGATGATGTTCGTATAAGGTATTTTGCAGCCTGATTCCTGCTGGTTTCTTTTCCACCGCGAAATAGACAACATGTTTATTGCGACTATCGCGTGTCGCTCGCATACATTTGTATAACATAAAATGCTTGTTTAGCAAAATGTATTTGCCTCCCCTTCGGGCACGCCTGAAGAAATGTGCACGCTTTTGTAAAATGTTTACGTAAATTCCGATTCTGCAAGCATTACCATTGTCATACTCTCTCCTCAAAAGAGGTGCATACTTTCATCACAGCGAGTATATGAGCGAATCGTTTCTCCCATTACGCGTGTAACATGAAAAAAACAATCGATAACGACGTTTTCACTTTGACGTGTCTTGTAAAATTCAACGTTTATAAGATTTCGTTGGCAAGTTCGGCGTTGTTTAAATGTTATTTGTGCCCTATTCAAGCTCAGTTGAAAGAGCAAACACTGAGCATCGCGCTCATTGCCTGCCGACGTCAATTAAGCTCGTTTCTGCATTCGGGCTTACGTTCGCGAGTTAACGCGCGAAATGAGCTATTGAATTCGACAGGATCGTTACATTATCATTATGCGTCGTCTCTGCTAGAAAAATGCGACGGTATGACGTTCACAACTCTGACGGGAAATTTCGAAACGCGGCCAAAGTTGGGACTGATAGCATTAACCTGACAATCACCGAAGCGGCAACCATAACTCGGTGACAAAATCATTTACGCAATACCTTGGGGCAAAGTTGTAGAAATGCAGCGCGGAAGAGATGCAACGTGCGCATAACACGACGCTTTGACGCGCGCGAATTTTTAAACGCAATTTGCCGCTTGTACAGGAAAGCTCTGGTGTTTAGCCACCCAATTTGTTCCGATCGTCCGTCGCTATCATTGTTTATTTTATGAATTCTCATTGCGCGCTTTATCCACATACGGGGATACAATACCCTTGCTCTTCGTTCAATCTTTACGATTATCGCGCAATTCGCAGCACGTTGCAACTATCAGCACCATCGACGTTACCTTTTCCCGCACAAACACCCATCTAATTTGCAACGTAGTCCAATTTAGTGCATTAGTATGCCGCGCAAATCATATACAATCATGAACCTCCGAATTATGCATGCATGCTATTTACGCATAGCAGATGCATTTATCTTCGCCAGGATGCACACGATGCCGGATTTTGTCAGCTGTGCACAGATCGCTGAGAGTCCCCTACGTTAAGTTAAATCTTATTCCGCTCGACGTAATACATCCTATCAAAAGCTAATTTTACTTCAGATATTGTGATTTTCGTCTTTAAACCAGCAAATAACTTAACGGGTAATTGCGAGGTTCTAGATCGCATTATTCACGGACGATAACGAAAGTAATATTCCAATAAGATTATCGCTGTAGGCGGCTCATTTTTTAATCTCTTAATCTTCAGTATTAAAAATTAAATTAATCCTGCATGTATCCTTTTCGTAAAACTTAATTTTTCAATTTAATTGATTTTTACTGACAAACTTTCATTTCAATTAACAGAAATAGTCACGCTCGTTTTTAGTAATAACATAAATTCGAAGTTACGGCTAATGTAATACACGAGCTAAAGTAGGAAGTACAATTATTATTAGATTAACCATATTTATTCTACATAAAAATATCGATTTCGATTAAAAATACAGAAAATTACATCGATTGTACGCGTTTCGAAAACGTGGCTTTTTCAACACAACGCAAATGGTCTTGCTGTTTTAAATGGGAAGGAAAACCCAAACAATAAAATTTGTTCTCGCAGCTCGCCGTTTGATCGAAGTAACAGATATCGCTCCCTATTATCTGTCTACACAGCAGTCGCTTTGAACTTGCGATGAATCTTTCACGTGCCACAATTCCGCGCTACCGTCGCATTTCCACATACCTAAGCGAAGCCGAAAGCGCTACTTCTTCGCTTCTTCATCAAGGACAAAGCTAACTTGCACCGCTAACTCGCGAGCCAGTGTCGATTAATTTAGCAAATCAGCCATTCGCTCGAGTGCGTGCCGCAATCGCGAGCGTGAATAGGTACGTACCGGACCTAGCAATGCATTCATTCGAAATTACACGCGTGTTCTGGCACACGCGCGTATGTCGTCTTCGTCGTGCCGCGCCGGGGTGTAATACGAAGCAGGGCGCCGCGCCGGGGCGCAATTTAATCCTGGACCGCAACGGCACGTCAGAGTCGGTACCCCATGTGTAATAATCTGAGCTTATCACGGTTCGTCGACGGGAGGGCCGACCTCGTCAATTCGCGCGCGGTCGATACGGTCATCAGAATGAGCCGTGTCCAGGGTCATTTGGTGACGCGCGCGGAGCCGGCCAGGTATGTCCGCATCATCGTCGTCATCGTCGTCGTCGTCGTCGTCGTTGTCGTCGCCGTCATCGTCGTCGTTGTTATCGGAATCATCCCCGTTCGCAGAAACGGAGGAGAGTCCCGGCCGTACCAGAACAATCGCACGAGATATCCCCCGTAGCTATGAGATTTACGGAATGTCGGTCGGAAGCACGTATGCATGTTTGGCGCCGAGTCGAATTGCGGGACGGAAGTACGTGAAGTCAACGAACAGACGACCGGGCGGACGGAGAACGAGGATGCGAAAAATAGGCGTTTGTGCGTGAATTATCATTTAACTATGTACGTGTCTAGAGAGTCCAAAAAACACACTGCGTTTTATGTAAGCGCGCAATGTCTTTTTTTGCAGAAATTTACGCATAAAACTTTTAATTAAGTGCAAGCTGACCGCTATAAGCAATGTTTTAACATTATTTCGGTGGAAAAGAGATGAGAAATGTTATTGTACGTACAGATTTATTATTCAATATTATTTCATTTTTATTATTGTTTTGTAAGAAGCCAATTTTTATACAATTCATATTATTATATTCAGAACTTGGCTCAGAAGTGCATATACATTTTTTTATAACGTAGACATGTCCATATAAGAGCTTTTCCGTCATTCTATTAAAATCTGTTTTAGTCAAATACAACAATTTTTAAAAACGAGATAATCATATTTTACAAAAAAAGTTATGCAAAAGTAATTTAAATATTCGAAAATTTCTTCCTCTTCTATTACATTTTTTTGTACAGAAATCAAACTAAAGTATAATAGTTGCTCTGCAGGGTATTCGATTAATGGATATAATATAAATTTATTAACCTACATTTACATCCTTTTAAATTTGCAATTTATTGTTCCAAAGAACACTTTTCATACGAAAGAAAATTTTACGTTAAAATTTACAGAAGCAAGCGTCGCCCGTGGAAATAATATCTTTCGTAAATTTCATTAATTCCTTGAAATAAAAAACTTTTATGAAACAGACACAGTAACCAGTTCACGAGAAATATCTTTACCGTTTGTTCAAGTAAAAAGACTGTGGACGTCAACTATGTGCACGATAATACAGCTTTTAATCTTTTATAATATTGTGAAGTGCATGGTGATTTTATAAAATGCACGAAAATTTTTGTAGAAAAAATTTTGTCTCTTTGTACGAAGTAAAATTTTTATTAATATATCTATTTCAAGGAGGTAATGAAATGTAGCAGAAATAGAGAAATATTATTAGTTTATATTTAAAAAATTTTACTTTATTACAGCAGTAAATTTTAATAAAGTCGTAAAATTGCAAAGTGACAGATTTCAAATTTTTCAGTATATAACTAGAATAATGAGAAAGTACAAACTTAATTTATTACCGTCAAAATATCGTTTTTTTATATAAATATATTTTTCTAATAAAATCGTTATTATTGATTGCAAGTCTTCTAACATAATAAGATTAGAAACAAAAATTTGGAGAAAAATTGAATTGAAATATTTTCATATTTCAAATTGTTAATATATGTATGTGTAGAGAAAAGTCCCCTATTATGAGACAAGTTCTTAATATGAGATAGCGGGGTTCTGTTAAATTAACAAGCATTATCTATTGGTTCCACCATGAATTTATTGTTCTTGAAATAAAATCTGTTTAGTGGGATATTCATTGTTAGTCGTAAATCGTCGTAAAAATCATCGTCGTAAAAAAAGATTTATGATTGAATTTAGAAGTTGAAAACCTGCTATCTTACATTAGAAGCCTATCTCATAATACGGAACTTTCCTCTAATAAAAAGTACACATTGAGCTATGTCTAATAATAATAATTTGCAATTAGCTAAGATAACTCATTGAATAGTTGTATAATAGATTTTTGGTCCTACTGTGGCCGT